TACCAGACGACAAAGAGCAGGAACTAATAATGTGAGGATGAACAGACACTATCCATTTATTCCGTTGCCAACAACTCTCGAATTGTGCACGGGCATCTCACGATGACCTGGGTATTGAAAAGTCCCAACCAAGCCCCCTCCACAACATGCTTAGAAGAAAGCCTGGGTCAAGTATATGACCCGCTGCCCGCTATATTCCTCGGCACAAAGGCCGTCTCCAGTGAGGGCCTGACCAATACTCGCTAAAACGCAGCAAAGTGGAACACAAAACAAAAACATAAACTCGGAAATATAATACATGTTGGAGAGAAAGCAATTGCCCATAAATCGGAGTACACAGCAGAACAAGCTCACCAAGCTTCACTCAACCTCACTCAACCATCGGCGGATGCCCTCCTTCAGCGACGAATCATTCTCAGTCCTTGGCAGAGCACTCTTGGTCGTTGTCGCCTTCTTGTCGTCGCTACTTTTAGACGCATGTCTGCCACCACGTTCAGCGGTGACCTCCTTCACCACGACTTCCAGCGCTTCAAAAAGAACGCTCTTGCAATCTATGTGGGGTACCTCGACGTGCGGTATGGCGTCAGAGTCTCCTCTCATATCACGGCGCCCTCTTCTGCTACTCGAACGAGACGACTGAGCCGAGTTAACACGCGTCACCTCTCCTGACTGGGCGAGCACGCGGTCCACACCGTCGATGAGGGTGGCGTCAAAATCCATGATGGTTTCTGTAACAAACTTCTCGGCAAGATGAACTTCTGTCATCATAGGCGCGACAGTGCCAGATGTGTAGGGGTTTCCGTATTGAGAGCGACCCGGGAGCACGCCCGGTGTCATGGCCGACTGTTGGTATGTGGGAGTAGGAATGAATTTGACCAGACGCCGCAGACTTATGCGCTTGATGGAAAAGTTGCTTGTATCAGCGATAAGCGCAGAACATATATCGATCCAGCGCTCAAGCGGACCAGACTCCAGACTAGGGGTGGCGATGGCACTGAGAGGTGTGGGCTCTGCACTCATTGCTCGTTTGATGTCACGTTCAAGCTCACGGTAAGGCTTAATGGCTTGGACAGCAAAGTCCGGATGGAACTGGCTGAGCCACCCTGCAACATTCACGGGCTGCTCCGGCTCACCGTGTGGCACTGAGAGAACAGATGACTCACCAAAACTAGAACCCTGTTGGCTAGAAGCTGATCCATAGCCCCCTAGCAGCGGTGATTGGAGTGGAGAATCGAAATCCGGTAACGGAATATCGACATCAATAACACCGTCTTTCTCATTGACCGAAAGCTTCAAGTGGCTCTCGAAAGTCTTATGACGTTCGGGGATAGGCCGTGCAGCCGAAGCAGGAACGCCAGGGCAGCCAGCGTTGGAGTAGGTATCGGGAGAGACGTTATCAGTGGAAGGGTCAAGAGGAAGCAGAGAGTCGGCAGCATCGCTTTCAAACACACGATCCATCGAGAGCTCTTGTACCATGAGCTCCAGCTGCGATCGTGACCTTTCCTGCCCCCGATATCCAACACCATCGTCTGTCGTTTGAAAAAATTCACTCTGGTCGGTAGAAGACGAGCGCCGGCCACTCCAGAAGTTCATAAAGCCACTCCATCGACTTGTGTTGCTCGAATCATTACTTGCAAGACTGGTTTGTCCTGTGCCACTTCTTTGTAAGGTACTGATTAGGTTCGAAGATGCTAAACTGTCACTGCTTTCTGGTCTTGTTTCAGAAGCAGGGCCGAATGATCTCGTCCTAGGGAACGTAAAATGAGCAATAGGGATTGTCTCCTGTGGTATGATTGTCGAAGTAGTCACTGTGCTGCTTGATGTCACAGGTCCCTCAGACAAAGAAGGAATCACTAGACTCGTGCGGACCGAATGTGCGGACGAACGCCGAGAGTGTCCTGTTGGTCGGACAAGCTCAGGCGCCTCGATCACAGCAGATTCGGATCGCTCATGTGTTGGCTGCACCGGTATCTGATGTACGCTCTGGGGCCTTGGTGGCTGTAATAAGATATTTGACATGCTTTGCTTGCTACGGGGTCCTCGGCGATTGATTTGACGGCGTAGGGATTGCTGCCTCGAGGGAGGCATATTAGTTGGAGGCGACTGAGAGTAGGCTCGGAGCGATGTCGAAGTGCTGGGTCGAATGTAGGCACTGTCCGCTAAGGCGGGTGCATTAGGTGGCAGAAAAGCAGCGAGAAGAAAGATTAGTCTTCGGGCAGCCATCTTATCTGGAGACACGATGACGGTGCGGTTAGAAATAGTCAGGTTCTCACCAGCCGTTGCCTTTTGTTTTTCGCGGTGGCGCTTGCGATGCCATTTGGGACCCAGCATGTTCAACCATTCGGTGTGGTTGCCCAAAAACGCCGTCAAGAGGTTGAAGAAGAAGAAATTTTGCTCTCGGCGACCTGCCCATCGACCAAGCCATCTAGCCTCCTCGCGCCACACACCCCATTTGCCTTGGCCAGTCATGACGCGGGGAATTCTCATGCCGCTCACCACACGATTGCCAGTGAGCTCTGCTGCTATTTGAATTTCCCTATCCATCACCAGGGCATTGGGTTGCAGCCTCAAGGCTCTCCGAGAGTACTGAAGAGATGACTCGCGAAAACTAGTTCGCGAAGACTGGCTCCGTTGATGCTGGGCTCCTGTTGGAATGATCGGCTCGGGTGATTTTGGTGACTTGAACTGCGCCAAGATGCGCTCTTGAACCACGTGTTGGAGACTAGTAAGTGCGCGCATGATGACATCCCAGTGCTGGCCCACTACATCGACTCGATCGTCGACGTCGCTGCTCAATGAGGATGAAAAGAGTGAATCAACGCCAAGGTTGGCATCAACAAAAGCCCATCCTGCACGCCGATCCGAGTCTAGGGACGAGGCAAGCGATTCCTGGCCGGGAGCAAAGGTGGATAGATGTGTTGGATTCTTCAAGCTTGTACCGCGTGATGACGGTCTCAGGCTCGGTATTGTTTGCGATATTGGCAGGTGGAGGATGATGGTGATGGCGTACATGGGGCTCTTTCGTGGGTGTGAAGGATACACGGGTTTGGTGGCAGCCGGTTTGGAATTTGATGCTGGAAAAGGAAAGCCATTGCCCTTTGGGAGTGAACTTTGTGGTGTCGGTGTGCGATCGTCGTTATCCTCTTCTGGCATGGTGACGGAAAACATACGGGTGATGAAAATGGTCCTACGCTTGGGCTCCTTTGGTATGCTCTCGTTGGAGTCGTTGCGTGCCAGATCGGTTGGCGGGTTAGCGGGGGTAAAAGATTTGGCGAGATGGCTTCTGCGACGGAGGCCCTCTGCGCGGCCCAAGGAGGTGGTAGCATCCTGTATGCTCGTGCCTAGGACAGATGCGTCGGCGGGCCTAGTGTCGAGAGGCACAATGTGTATTTTGTTCGAGTTGCCTCTGTAGTTCATGGCCAGATTGCCGAACATGCAGTCGAGGCAGATATTGGCCAGGTCCGTCGACTCCTTGGCTCGGGCCTGCGCCTTGGCTTGGAGCTGGGCATGCTCGTCAATGTTTGGCATGGAGGATATGGAGCTGCCGCGGGTTCGGACGCGGGTGAATCCCCCGACAGTGGGCGAACGTGGTGGCGCCGTAGGCTCTGTAACAAGGGACGATCTCCGCGCATGAAGATTGCCCAATGCCGGGCCCGCGGTGCTGGCGGTACCCGCGGTGTTGGAGTTGGCTCCACCAAACGCTCGCACGCGTGGGTTGGGACTTGTGGGCGGTTCGGGGCGTGGGGGGGCTGGCTTGGAGTCGAACAGAATGGCCTTGGGCATGGCCGGAGTCTCATCCTGGGCGATAATGATGCGGCAGTCGCGAGGGTAGTCGAGGTCAATCTCAGGCAGAGGCCCGTCATGTCCGCTGCCAGGCGTCAGGGGCGCAGCGTGCAAGGGATAGGGCTGGCCGTCGGGGTGGTAGAGCGTGTTGGACTCGGGATACAGCAGGTGTCGCGTGTGGCTTTCTTCCGTGGCCGAGTCGAGGACAGTGGGCGAGGTGGTGTGTGACGCGTTTGCGCCCTTGCGGCTGCTGAACAGATGTCCGATCATGGCTGGCAGTGGGCGCATTCCGCCATGGAAGCGTGGGCGGGGGCCTTAGTAGTGGGCGAGGGAGCCGTCGTCGAAGTGGCGGGCTCGAGCAGTACGGCGGCCTCGTAGACCCATGGCAGCGCCCTGTCAACTGCTGGTGGGAGGGTGAGGGTGAAGGTGCAGGCACAGGCAAAGGTAAAGAACGAGGGGTGAGGGGTGAAGGGCTGTGAAGGTGATGTCACACGCGGCGGTTTGACGAGTGCAGCATGCAGCGTGTCAGTGTGCAGTGGGTGCACGGGTGCTCGTGAGGCGGCAGGGCAGCACGAGGCCGTGGAGACAGAGGTTGGTGGAGCCTGGAGAGGGGCCGTGGGTGGATGCGTGCTCAGGCAGCGTGTCGCGTGTGTGCGGAGAGGGGAGAGGGCGGGTTTGGCTGCTTAGTTATGGAAGGGCGGTGAGAGGGCAGAGAGGCTGAGGGCGACTTCCCAGAACAGTCGACCTGCACCTCGACCCTCCGTCCTTCTCTACGGTACATACAACCAGCATAGGCTGCCTGTACATGACGTGCATGTACCTACCGACATACATGGCACCTGTATGTCCACACACATGCGCGCAGATGGATGCTCACGCCCTTGATAATGGTGATGATAATGACCATAATAATGACAAAGCACCCGGTAGTTACTTGGACTCGCACCATCACCACTACCACCGCCACCCGTGCCGCCACTCATGACCATAATGCATTCTATCCGCCGCCAGCCAGCAGTCCACACCTACCGTGGCTCATCTCCTAGGATACCCTAGGCTCTTCTCATGCATGCGCTGCCAAAACGCTTTGGTGCAACACAACCGCTCTGTCCACAAGCCCCGACACGGCGCGAGCGGCGCTACATTCCAGTTACCGCTCCCACGACAATAATTCAAATACAAGCGACAGCAATTATAGGCGGTGTATCCACGCCGAAACCACAGGTACATACACAAAAAACTTTGTTACATTTGTTCGGAGCCGCTCGGACCGCGCTTCTCGCCAGCACCGCAACATCACCTAGAAGCTTTCTGCCAATACATAACCGCCTTTACAAACGTCAAGAGCGCCTCACTATCTGTGGCCCGATATCGGCCATGTCCACCAACAGCAGGATCGCCTTGGAGAGGGCGAAGATCTCTACTCATCCAAACAACAGCCTTGTGTCCGCAAGACCCCCACTAGCCCGCCTGCTGCTAAATCTTGTATACAACTAGTGCAACACATATTCTCTCCCACTACTCTACAAGTCTGCACACCACCAGGTAACACCACGTGCCTGCTCAGAGTAACTTGGTTAGGCCTGCCTAGTGGCTGATGGAAGGAAAAAAGCGCCGAGTATTGCGCCCAAAAAACTACAGTACTCCTTGGACATGCACATCCAAGACACAATGTACAACGCCTGGCGCATACATCTTAACCCACTCAACATGCTTTACTCTTACAGCCATATTGCCTGTCCCGCCATTTCGGCGCTCGACTAGCTTGTCAATCTCTCCCTCAATCTCCTTGCTTCTCGACTCGACGTCTCTGATCCCAATGTTCTCGTGCACGTGGATCCATCCACCGCGTTGCCCGTCTAGCATATCAACTGCAATACTCCACGATAATCTCGAAGTAGGCAGTAAGCCTAGGTTTACATGCCGAATGGGCAGCTGACAAACCAAGCCCAAGCTTGTACTCATGGCTGCATAGTCTGACTTGGCTCTTTCATTGCTTGCCTGGAATACCCAAAAGTCCGCTTTTTGTATGTCAGTTCCATTGAGCGATGGGCAAGCAAGCCCATTCGGGGCATATGCACTAGTCCGCCTCAACTGACAAAGGTCGTCTCCCTTGATAACCTTGCATAACCAGCCATTCCTCTCTGCGCCTCGTCGCAGACCTTCAACCGACCATGGATTGATTTCCCAGCACAATACTCTGCGAATTCCGTCTTGGCGGTACTCTCCACTCTTCTTATATGAAAAGGCAAAATAGCCTATGCCTGCATAGAGATCCACAGCTGCCGAGGCTTCGTCCAAGTCAGTGGTGACTGCAGCGAGGTTGAGTATTCGAGTCTTCTCGCGGATGTTGCCACGGCTAAACATGGTATACAAAGGTGCCCAGACTTGCCAAATACCGTTCTGTTTTGCCGTAACCCATAAAGCTTGTTCAAAGTCAGTGGCAGTGGGACATGAGATTGTCTGGAGCGTAGGGCTGGGTCCAAAGTCACCGTGTATCGGTACAAGATTGATTGGTCGGCGCAGAATGTTCTCTTGGTTCTGGTTTGCCCCCGAATCCATATTGGGGTTGGTGTTTGTCTTTGGTGGGATAGGTGAGTTGATTGCTACATGTGTTGCACCAACTGATGCTGCAACGTACTGCCAGACCGGTGCTAGTAACTCTGAATCCACGGCATGCCGAGATAGAAATATCTCCCATGCGGTAGATCCAAAAGCATTGTGTGGAAGCAGAAGCATGGGTTTGTATATTGAGTATCCATCTGGGAAAGCGGAGATAAGGACTTCAGGCGACAAGACCATTTCAGCTAGCACCGAATCCTGTAATGTCGACAGAGCTTCTTTCAACGCTCTGTGCATCGGGCTTTTCATGGCTGAGGACTTGAGAGGACTAGCTTCAGCAGCATGATGTGCTAGTTCAGTTTCGTGGTGAAGATACTCCAGATCCAAGTTCTGTAATATTGCGGATTTGAATTCATTGCTGCTTTCTTCGGTCAGATCCGCGTTTGCATCGCCTTTGATTGAAGGATAGAAGATGGTCGTCGGGATACGCATTCGTTGCTGGAACACAACCTCTTGTACTGGGACCAGCGCATCCTTCCCAGTAGGAAGTTCAACGTTCTGTCCCTTAACAAAATCGTACTCAAATGGCGACAACCTCGTTTCGCCATGCGTACCAGATGCTTGCGTGGTCGATGTTTCTCGAACTGGAACTACATCGCCTTGTTTCAGAGTAGTATGCGCGGCGAGTGTCGTATGATTTCCGCACTGCTCGGGCACAATTTTGCTGCTCCGGTCAAGCTGGCCGGCTCGTTCAAGAGCAGATTTCACTGTCTTGACGTGGCTCTTCGGAACTATGAGCACCACTCTTGCATTGGCCTCTTCCTGTTCTTGATTTTCCGTTATGTGGTCCATGGTATACGCAATCTGCTAGTTCTTGTTGTAGATGTCGGGAAATGAGTGTCATGGTTTTACGGCGAACACTGGAGAATCCGTGCATTTCAGCGTACTAGCTAGCTCAAAGCAACTAATTGCGACCAGAACACACACTGCTCAGACTGAACTCGATGGGTGTTGGACATGGCGCGGTTGAACATGTCTACTTCAATTGCAGACATGACAGTGACATTAAAATGTTTTTCACAATTGAGGGCAGAGCAAGAGCTGACCATGATCATTGCCCAATGCTGTACTACCCCGCCCCTACCATGACCCTACGTAACCTTGCTGCGTACCTGCGGCCAGCAATTATCCTTCCACACTCTCACGCATACCACCTGGCCTATCATCCACACCAAACATGCCGCTGTCAAACATTGACCTCGTGAACCAATGCGACGGATTCCCTTACCCCGACGTAAACTTGGAAACCTATCTCGCCTCCATCAACACGTACTACCAACTGCGCGTCTCAGGCCACAACTATGGGCTCGGTTACATGCTACCTTCGGTTGTCGAGGTATTTCGCGGCGTCTCAAACTGGGAGATTGATGATAAGGCGCGGATTCTATGTCTCACAGCTGGTTCAAACGCACAAGAGCGGTCCGCAGCGGTAGAGACGACACTATTGGCATTGCGCAAAACCGGTCATTTCAAGGTGCTGGACAAGTGGAGGGGGGAATTGTATGCTGTCTACGGTAAAAATAAAGAGTTGCTGTTCAATGTGGAGAGAAGTGCTAGTCCCCTGTTTGGTGTCATCACATACGGTGTACACCTGACTGCCTTTACACGCACGCGTGGAGAAATCAAGATTTGGACTCCGAGAAGGGCACGTACAAAGCAGACATATGGAGGCATGCTCGATAATGCCGTGGCTGGTGGTATCGCATCGGGGGAGAGTCCATTCGAGAGCCTGGTCAGAGAATGCGCAGAAGAGGCTTCACTGCCGGAAGAGCTGGTGCGCAAGAATGCAAAGGCGTGCGGCACAGTCACGTACTGGTACGTCCGCGACGAGAGAGCGGGGGGTGAGACGAATTTGATGCAGCCCGAAGTTCAATACGTCTATGATCTTGAGCTTCCTGAAGATACGATACCGAAGCCCGGCGACGATGAGGTTGAGCAGTTCTACCTATGGACCGTAGACGAGGTGCAGGAGGCTATGAGAAACGGAGAGTTCAAGCCCAACTGTTCCCTGGTCGTGCTAGACTTTCTCGTGCGGCATGGCATCCTGACGACGGAGAACGAGAAGGATTACATCGAGCTGGTGAGCCGATTGCACAGAAAACTCGAATTCCCCACACTATGAAAATAAAAAAGAGCATCGGGATTTTTTTGCTAGAGCTAGGAGAGTCTCTGAAGGCGTCCTTTTATTTCAAGAGGGTATCCAGACGCCTTGCCGAACCTTTAGACCAGAGGATACTAATACCACATGCCACCAAAACGCCTGCCCATGCTTTCTTTGTCATTCTCTCATATGCGCGATGACGCGCCCAACTATGAGTGCTTCACAAGCATGTAGATGTCGTCAATTTTCAGTCCGCTGAGCTTGCGGTGGGGTCCTTCCATGTACAGCAAAAGCCCGCCGAAACTAGCAAAGTATTTTCTACAAGCAGTCAGTAGCCAGTCTGACATGGCAGGGCTGCCTGGACAGTGCTCACATGGTATCTCCATTGCCTCCTTCCATACGGTAGTTTTTGCCGTAGCAGACATAGTCATACATATCCGCCAGCGTCGCCACACCCTGTTTGCCTACGTTTCTCCACATTGTGTCATTCTCGCCCTTTGAGTTGCCGTCGAGGGCGAGTGTTGTGGCTAGGACCAGGCTGATGCTCTCGCCAACCGTTACGGGAAACAGCTCGTGGTTAATATCGAGGGTCATGGTGATTTGGCTGTCGGTCGAGGTGCCAAAGATGCGGGAGACACGATCATATTTCTCGTTATTAATGGACGTGATGTTGAACGTCTCTTCGAAGACCTGGGCGTCGGCCATGGTGAAGGAAGGGGGCAGACAGGGATCGAATGCGCGTGTGTTTAGGTGCGAGGTGCTGCGATGCCGATGCGACGAACAAAGCTTGAAGCGGCCGTCAGTCAGAGCGGCGGCATGTCTTGGCACCGCCTTTACCTCCGAAGCGCTCTCCGCAACTCCACCAGGGTGCACCGTCGCCCTCTCACCCACCAGCCACTGTGCCACAACCGGCCGACAAGAGGCCCGACCCGCATCCTCGCCCTCACCCTCAGCCTCGCCTCTACCCTTGCACTCACACTGAGCTTCACCACGTTCACATTGCACATGCCGGCTCTCGTGCCTTCTCTTGTCGTGATAACCCTTCCAATCGGGCTGCTGCTCACAGCGCCTGCTGCGCCCCAGCCTCCGTTCGCGCCCCGGCCCCCCTCTCTCTGTCTCTGACACGTTCCTGATGAGCTACGAGCGTTACTTGATGAATCTATTCAGCCTCCACGACTTCGACTACTTTTCGCCCGAGATGCTCGACTTGATTCCGAGTCGCGAGTGTAGTCCTTCGGGCTTTGATCCGCTCAATCAGCCGATGCCCAAGGCGGCCGCGAGCCAGAGCAGCATGCTGCTGAAACTACCTGACGACATCTTCAAATGCGTCATGGACTACTTGGATCGCGACGCTGCGTGGAGTCTGAAGCGCCTGTGCAAGGGCATGGCAAACAGCGTGACCGTGAACCAACTACTCTACAAATACCCCATACAACTCAACGACGTGCGTGACATCAGGCTGGGCGACTGGAAGTATAGGAGCATCGGCAGGACTCGGTGGATGAGCTTCATGGACAGCATCAATGACTCCAACCGCCGCCATGTCCACAAGCTGGCAATGTCGCACTGGGCAAGCATCGACGACTTCAAGTGGATAGAGGGCAATCTGCCTTGCCTCACCAGCCTTGACATATCAGCCATCAAGGACTTTGTCTGGACTCCTGAAGAGACTTGGACGTGGAAGATGTTGGCCGACGCCTGCCCATATCTATTTGCACGCTTGGAAGAACTAGAGGTAGCAAACTGGGCAGACTACACTGCACACTCTCGCATCGAATACAGCTACTCGTACCAGGACTACCGCTTCAAGCAGAGCTTCAGAATATCACGGAGACGAGACGGTGGGTCCGTCGCCAATGCCATCTTCCCCATTTGCAAGAGGCTAAAGACGCTTGCGATACGGGAGCGATATTCGGGCTTCCAGTAAGTCGCATCGTCATATCGTCATTTATCCACGCTAACTCCCAGACCCAGCACATGGAATGAATGGGAGGTTCATCAACGCGTTTGCTGTCTCGTAGACGGCGTACAAAAGTACTGCCCAGAAACCATGACAAAGCTCAGGGTACACGACTACGCCCCCTATCGATCACTCTTTTCCACAGATGCGACAAAGTGGTCGCGCATCAAAGATGTCGAGATAGGCCTTTATTCTTGGATGGAGGACCGCCGTGACAGGGACGTCATCGGACCAATTCCATACCGCATAACCCAAGGTCATCACCATCGTGACGAGGAAGAAGCCTTTGACGACAAGACATTTGAGGCCTGCGAGCGCGATCATATGGTCCTAGGCAACCATGTTGTGCAAGGCGTCGGGGCGTCATTTGAAGACTTACTCCAGAGTCTGCAGACCATATCCAAGAAATACCCTAACATCAATATGAAACCTATTCGGAACCTCCGGAACATAACCTTGCATCCGTTTCATCTCGTCAACGTCATGCAGCGACGTAATCATTTTGGCCAACCGCCCCAGCAAATCAACGATCCAGCAATGAGCGATCCGAGCTCCAAGCCCGAAGTGCAGGAAGCATTGCGATGGCTTGCGCGAGAGTGTGACTGGAAGCCAGTTCTTGCCTGGGAAAGCATGATGTGCGATGTCTTCCCTGCAAACCTAGAACCCAATCGTACTTTTCTGCCCAAACCCGACATTCTCTCACGCATACAGACAATGGTGGCACGACTCAGAAGTTTGGATATACCCATTCGCATCTCGATTGGTGATCGTGGAAATACTTGCCCCTCATCAGGTCTGGATGGTAGCTTGTACTTTGGTCCCTTCAAGACTTTTGTCGGCGAGGGTGCCGACAGGCGTGAAGTGCTTCTCCCGACTCAGGCAGTATTTAGCCTTACCCCTATCGCCTCCATGGTAGACGAGCTGACCATTCAGTACCCTGCCGATGTTCCAGGTGTCTCGGGTTGGCTTCGTGCAGCAAAACGCCCCACACCGGCAGAGAAAGCACTCATGGAGCGTGAAATGATTGGCTGGCGTCGCTTTTGGATGCGCTATGCTTCACAGTTCAAGAATCTGAAGAAGCTTACTGCAAACGTACCCAATGACATTTACGAGGATTGGGGAAAATCAGAGCTTGTCACGCTGCTTGAAGATGAGCGGTGGCAGATGTTAGAGGTAGAAGACAAACCAGACTACACTTCCAGCAGCTACTTTCCTTTCAGCAATCCATCAACTCTTAGGTACAGGTTTCCGAGGAACCGTAGCAAGACGAAATTTGCTCAGAGGGTGTTTTTCCGGCTCAATAACGAGCCACTGGATCTAGTGGTAGCTCAGCCCGAGCTGAGTGCCAAGGAGAGGGAAGAGAGGGAGATTACAGACGCGATGATCAAGGAAAGCGAATCAATATGTGAGAGGAGTCTGGGACACCGGTTCTGGGTGAGAAGAGAAGGGCAAGAGAAAGCAGAAGGCAAGGTGGAAGAGAAAGATGGCAAGAGGAAATGGTCAGACAATGACGAGAATGGGGTCAATGGGGAGAAGGAAGCAGAAGAAATGGAGGCCAAACGACCGAGGATTGAACGAGAAGGCTTTGCAGAGTTTTTCCACGTTTTGTGAGTGCATGCAAAGGGGTTAATGATGGCGAACATAGCATACACGTATGGCTTTTTAATAGACACGCATATTATATATTTAATACAAGAGGAATATTCACGTTAAGTGTATGGGAATGGAGAAGAAAAAAGACAATTAAAGACAATGAACAGGTGATTGGATAAGACAACCAAACACGCTCGCTTGTTAAGATAGTGAACCACATACATGTATCTACCTCGTATTGAAAAAAAATAATGCTGAAACCTTGCAATCCAGAGATGCAAAACACAAAAGACACTACCCAGCCAGTACAATCCCGTGACCAACCGGATGAAAAAAAGAAGAACAAGAGAGGGTAAAATAGCGTAAGCCCCCACGCTATGTACAGGTAGTATGTATGTGTCTTCATTAAGCGTTTCCTTTACTCGTCAAGTTTGCTCATTGTACTCTTGGCCCTTTTCGGGCTACTCGTCCGACTCTTGATTCTCTCACGACTGACGGTCCGGCTAAGTTCAAACGCACCTCCTGGCAGGCCGAGACCCAGGCCCATGCCATCCCTCGCCAGTTCGCCAGTCGTGCTACCAAAGTAACTCGGCGCACTCACGGGCTCCGTCTTGATTTGTGGCGTAGCCCATCCACTGGTCCGGCCTAGTTTAGATTCCTCGGAAGAATCGGAGAGTTCATTGTCGCTCGAGTCAAGGTGGGTTTCTTCAAGTTCAAACTCATTGGCCAATTCACCGTCTTCCAGGTCCACACGTTCGTACGGCTGTTGGTTCGCCGATGACGAACCGCCAAAACCAAAGAATTTGGCTGGGAAACTGCGGCCGCGGCGACGGTGCAAGGGGTCTTTGCCTTGTTTACTCTTGAAAATCCTGCTTATCGATTGTTTGACCGCGCTCCTCCGCTCTTTGCCCAAGATCAAGCAAAAGATGACAATAATGATAAAAACCATGATAAAGAAGCCTGGTATCTGTTGAGGATGCTCGACAAAGAGGCGATGCCAGTTGCTCTCTGATTCGTACGCCTTGGGGGTACCACCTGGATACTGGAAGTCTGCAGGTATGCCGAGAGCGTTGGAACCGAAGCCCACTGCAAGTGCTTCCTCAGAAGGCGGTGGGATCTCACTAGAAGCGTAGAGGACCATTTTGCCAAGTGTCCAGCTGAGTTCTATGTCGTTGATCTTGTTGACTGCCTGAAAAGGGTCAGTGAAACCTTTTGCCTTGGCATTGTCAAGTACGGCTTTGGTGGTATTTTGGCTGCCGTCTAGGCCCTCTATTCCGACCCGAGGGACGCCAATACCGTCGTGTAGCATACTGATGATCCAAGATGCCTTGAAGCAAACTTCACGTGCTTTGTCTTGATCAACCTTTTTGCCCCACTTCTCCTTCTTGATACCTTTTTCGATACTCTTCCAGTCTTGACTGCAAAATTGGTTTACGCGCTCTTGATAGGTCTTCAGATCATAGGCCTTGTCCTTGTGTCCGTGCTCGAAGATTTCGTGGGTCGTATGCCAGTATTCGGATACACCTACAAAGTGGTTGACCTTGAAGTCGATAGCAGGTACATGTTGACCATTGATCAAGCATGGCGAGTTTGTGCATTTCTTTTCTTTCTCCAGCAACGGATAGGTCTGGCGCAAACATTCTGGGAATTTTCCGGTTCCTACGAGCTCTGCTGTCGCCTTTGATTTCGGTTCGTCGTCGTCATCGTCGTCCGAGTCCGAGTCGATGAACTTGCCCTCTTGTGTGACCTCCAGCCTGAGGCCTGTGGGCAAGCAAGGGTCTGGAAGTTCTTTCTCAGTGCTGGAGTCCAATAGTGCCTTTGTATATCGTTCCCGCGCTTGATTTACACCAAAACCCAGCCATGTGGTGACAAAGACTTTGTGCTCCAGCGGCGTACCATCTAATGTTCGTAGTCGTAAAAGGGTCAGGTCGTCAGCGTGCTTCTCAGCTTCGGTAGCATTTGGCGCGAAAGCGATCTGTGCCGATGCACCTCCCATATCTAGAAAACCATATGTGCTGTGGCCGTTGCCATGTTGATGAAGTTTTGGCTGGTCAAAGCCACCCAGCAGGTAATTTGCTGCTATCCAACCATACAGGCCTTCGGTCTCTCCTGGTATAACCTGGATATGTACACCGCAATCGGGTAACTGGAACTGGGTCGTGCTGCGGGCAAATTGGCAAACTTGGTGGAGGATTTCTTTGCGCTGTGACTCTGGCAGAATGCGCATGCCCGCCGTGGCAAGCAAGAAGAGAGGGGTATTCGGGACTTGATCAACAGGTACGTGTTTGAGCGCATGGTTGAGGAGTTTTTCAAGATGATCTGGACCGACGCGGTGAGGGTTTTCGCCAAAGGTAGAGATGCCTAGAGGATGGCGGATGAGGTCAGTTTGCGCCCAGGCGGCTACAGGCCGACATACCGGGATGAATCTTCTTAGTCCACTTCTTGTCCGTTTCTATGACGGGCAGGCTGTGTAACTGAGCATCAGTGGCCTGGTTACGGGCTGCGTC